ACCAACGGCATAATGTGACGTAAGGGAGAAAATATAGACAGTAAGAAAGATCAACACAGGATCCAGTTCTGATTAATTTGATTTTGACCTTCCCTTCACTCCTCTTAAGGAGCCTGGCACTGAATGTTGCTTAAGCCATCTTAAACCTACAGATACCTAACTTGGGCTGGGATGGATATAAGATTTTATTTCCAGGGAAAGACTGTAAAGGTTCAAGATCAGGATGGTAGGGAGCCCATTGAAGTAGTGCTAGGAAATGTCTATTTCCTGTATGCATTTGCAGAAAGATTCTCAAGAGAATCCAGCTGAGACAAATGATAGTACTGAAAAAGTAGCAGCATATGTTTCTGATACTTCTGTGGATGCACTGTTAATGGAGACTGATAAGCTGCATACCCCCGTGCAGCACGGGTAGTTCTGTTGTGCAGAAATGCTTTCAGCATCTTCAAACCTTGGATACCCAAGTGCCTGCTAGTATCAGAAGCGTGTATTTTGTATGACTCACTTTTTATCTTATCCTTTCTCCAGAAAGAAATTGTGTGTGTAGTTCTGTGTTTTCCCTTGGATTTGACTTTTTGTCAAAGATGTATTTACTTCTGTGGTTTTTTGTGAGAGAGAAAGAAAACATTGCTGCCCTTGGAGTGGAGAGACGAGACTGGGACTCGTCCCTGGGAAAACTCAGTCTGTGCCAGCAATGAAATTTCCTTCTCTAGAAAGCAGTTCCACTGTGCATAGGAGAGCTGAGCTGTTAACTAAAAGTTAACCTCTCACACCCACAGAGATGGCTGTTCTCAGCCCAGCCTGACCTTTATTTTCCGGGGAGATAAAGGACTGAGACCTGGAACTTGACTTGGCTGAGGCTGCCAGCATGTGATTTCTGTACTACAGATGAGATTGAGATTGATATACTTTTAATTTTCTTCTTCAAGTCTTTTGGTTAAAGTACAGCAAATACTATTTAAGGAAAAAGGACTCATTGAGTATTCGTGACTAAGCATGCAAGAGCAAATACACGTGCGCACACACACACTCTGAAGGCAGAGAGAGATGGGTGTGCATCGCTGCAAGTGTTGTATCAGCTGATTTGGTGCCTGCCTGAAAACATAATCCCGACTGTTTGAAATTGATACACAATTTCAGTGGTTATGGTGACACTATGGTTACTGTAAATCCTTCTCGGCGCCGACCACCTTCATCTGAGTTCTGGCATTTTCTTGGATGTCTGCTGTGTAGAAGAGCTTTTTAACAGTCCCAACAATCCTCTTAATTTGTCTTTTAAACACTTTACCAAAAGGAAAACAAAGGAAGCTGAACCATCCAGAGAAGACAGGATGGTCTAATAGTTGGAAGTAGAGCACTGGGAACCAGGAAGATTCTGGTTTCTAATGCATTTGAGCTGCTCCTTCAGTCCTTGACCTCCTCGTACTTTTGTCAATATGCCTCAAAAATGGAGCACAAAACTAGACCTTGAAAACTTGGTACTGTGTCTGCATACCCAAAATGTTAGGAGGAAATGCCAAGGATCTGATTTTTCAGTGAATCTGATTTTTCAGCATATCTGCTTTCTGTGTTGTGTTCAGCCCTTTGCCCTGCAGTCTGTGATATGCTGCAACGCTTTCCAAGTGGGGAGCTCTTTTACCTGCTACACATCTGAGACTGAAGGTCTTGTTCTGGCTCTGCAGTCACCAGCAGGCTCTGTGGAGTGTCTTTGATGCAGAATGACAGACTTAAGTCTAGATTTCCTTCCTTTAGGGGGAATTTCAAGTTTGTTTTTCTTCAAGTAAGAAAATGGTTTGTTCTGTAACAGGTAGAATGGCTATGAAAAGAGGGAAGGAAAAAATAAAGTCAGTCAGTCCAATAAAACTATGTAAAAGCTGTAATATCAGCCAACCAAAGCAAGGAAGCTTCCTGAATTGGGCTATGTTTACTTTAAACATAGCTCACTGTGCCTTGCTATTTCAGTACATATTGTGTGTGGTATCCAGCTATTTTAAAGATAAGATCAAATTCACAATTCAGATCAAAATGCCTCTCCCAACTGTGAACTTCTTAAGCATTACTAAGAGTCACAGTGGAAGACCATGGTCTCTGTGGTGCTCTATGTAGTACCGCATAAGGATAAATATTTGTCAGGATGTCTGAGGGCAGTCTGAGCCTCCTATAGAGCTCAAGAGATTTCATCTCTTCAGTTTGCCTGGCATCCTTTTGCTAGGAAACTTTTCCAGATGCACTGAATTTAATAAGCATTGTGGGATAAGCAGAGAAGAGAAAAGAACTAATAAGAAATACGGCCACTACAGCTGCTACCTGTATGAGGGGAAAGGAATCTTTGTAGGTGTGTGCACGATAAGCCTCCTGTATGCATGTACCACACTGGTACTATTGATATGGAGTGGGGATGACAGAAGGAAAACTGCAGTCTGCTTAATCAACCTCCTTTCCTCTTCTGCCCATGAGCTGTTGCTGGCTTCTCTATGGAGAAAATGAGCTATAGTGGCATTGGGAAGCCCCTCCTCAGTAAGCTACAGTCCTTCATATTGTCTGCAGGAGAAAGGTAGCTGTAAGTTTGTACATACATAACAAACCAACTCAAAATGCTCACAAACTCAGCTATTTGTTTTTCAAATGAAACAGGTTCCATTCAAAGACATATATGTGTCAACAAGTATATGTTTGCAGTAGGTCCCATGAAAGTATTTTTTCAAAGACAAAACTGGATTTTCATCAGACCTGCCACCCTGTGACAACCATGAAGCAAGCCCCAGCACCATCCCTGCTGGGCCAGCTACTTACCGCACAGTAGCCCTGCAAAGGTCCAAGTAAGTATCTCGGGACTACCAATTCGTGCTATGCTGTGGTGTGCTTTCTAACATGGCACCTGGCTGAGGGTCTCTCTTGCACTTCCCAGCTGTGGTCCTTCCTTCATCAGTGACAAGTGCACTCGTGCACTCTGTTGGGAGACCCAATGCATGGCATTAGATGCACCAGGGCAGAGAGGAAGTGAGGAGTCCTGACCACCAGATATTTGGAAAACATAGAGTTAACATTAGCTTATTCACAGCAAACACAGGTTCCCAGGTGCTGACAGAAAGGTCTGGGTGTTTGATAGGTGGCTGTTGGGGCATTTTGCTTTTTGGGCAAGTTTGGGGGTGTTTAGGTCAGAGGAAAAGAAAACAAAACTGAGCCTGGGGAGGTTTCTCTTCTGGTTGTGGTCTCTAGGTGTCTGTTGGGTCTTCTCTGTCTTGTGGATGAAATCTTGACTATGTGTATGGGATTTTATTTTATTTATGTTTTTAGTTTACTATTTGTCCACAAGTAAAGTGAGAGGCAGGCAGTATCTGCAGTCTGCTGTGGTGACATTGCCAGGCTGGTAGTACAAGAAATGTCATGACACACTGTGGGCATGGCATTAAACACCTATCTTTCATCTGATTTGAGCAAAATAATGAGCTTTTTGTACTCGTGTAATTACTGCTTACCTAGCCTCTTGTTGCAGTGTGTTTGTATTCACCTGGAGGGCTTTTACTGTAAAGCTTCACAGTGCTGTTTCCGGGAAAGGTAGGTGCTTGTGACTCAAAATGGGATGACACAAGCCTCAGGAGCCTGTGTATAAACAGCAGCATCTGTAGATGTCAATGTGCCATCAAGTAAATGACATTAGCCATTGCATCTGAAAGGCAGTGCAGGTGGCAGGAGGGAATTGAATACTTGGAAACACAGTCGGGTGGGGAGTCTACCTAGGTTTGTTCTATATGGTGTCAGGCTTACTGCCAGTGCACAGGATGGTAACTCCTGGATAGAGTAGGTCTCCACACTGAGTGATTAAATAGACCTGTACCTCCTATACCTGTGTCGTGGTTTAACCTCAGCCAGCAACTAAGCACCACACAGCCGCTCGCTCACTCCCCCCCACAGTGGGATAGGGAGAGAACTGGAAGAGTAAAAGTGAGAAAACTTGTGGGTTGAGATACAAACAGTTTAACAGGTTAAAGCAAAAGCCACGCATACAAGCAAAGCAAAACAAGGAATTCACCCACTACTTCCCATTGGCCGGCAGATGTTCAGCCATCTCCAGGAAAGCAGGGCTCCATCATGTGTAACGGTTATGTGAGAAGACAAACACCATCACTCCAAACATCCCCGCCTTCCTCCTTCTTCCCCCAGCTTTATATGCTGAGCATGACATCATATGGTGTGGAATAGCCCTTTGGTCAGTTGGGGTCAGCTGTCCTGGCTGTGCCCCCTCCCAGCTTCTTGTGCACCTGGCAGAGCATGGGAAGCTGAAAAGTCCTTGACTAGTGCAAGCACTACTTAGCAACAACTAAAACATCAGCATGTTATCAACATTATTCTCATACTAAATCCAAAACACAGCACTATACCAGCTACTAAGAAGAAAACTTTATCCCGGCTGAAACCAGGACAACCTGCCAAGCCTGGAGCATCAGATATCAGGTAACTGAGCTTTGATTCCACAAACTTTTGTAAGTCTTGTTATTTTAGCTTTTCTTCTCAAGAATATAAAGATACCAACCAGCCACAGAGCGTACTGGTGATACCCGCTGCACAAACTGCAATTACACTTTCCTGAAGCATACATGCAGTGACATGCTGCTGACCACAAATGTGGTTGTGCACAGCTGCCAGAGACCAGCTGTGAGGTCCTTTGAGGATGCTCTGCGACTGAGTGCAGAGAATCAGATAAAAGGAGCATGTTTTAACTTTGATTGGCACTTTATCTGGTCAGTGCAATTGTTCTCATCACCTTCATAATTTTTACAAATTTAGAAGTTACATGGAGGGAAAAAGGGAGATGGATGCCCATTAACTTTGCTGCTCCTCTGAAACTTTTTTGTGCTTAGCAGAGCACATTTCTGGCTCTTGAGAAAAAAAAAGGGGGGGGGGCACAAAAAGGGAAAGCTGCTGCAAGTTTTCTGGAGAGAGGAGGACTATATTTCCACGGGGAAGGTTTGAAAGTCTTAAACGTGGGAACTGCAGTCATGACTAAAGTGCCTCAGAGAAGTCGTTGTCACCCAGGGCGCCCGGGGAGCACGTCCCGCAGGTGGCAGCAGCAGGCAGTGCTGGTGGCAGTAGTCATGGGGATGCCCCTGCTCAGTCTCGAAACTCCTGCAAATGTGGGTCTTAATCCCATTTTGCAGGTATGTTTTAATACATCGTGAATTGCATTTAATGACACAATGCCCTCTGTGTACCATGACTGTATGCATTTTGCCAAAATACTGGAGTTTGTTGCAAAGAATCACACAGTTATATCTGTGAAGCTGGTGACCACTTCCCATGGGGGTGATAAATTGCCCAGTGGCACTACTGCCTTATTTTGTTGCTGGCATCCTTTCAATATAGTGAGGATGGCAAAATTCATCCCTCTGCGCTGCTAAGCAGCCAGGGAGTCCTGCTGCGGCTGTCATTGCAACTGAGGTATTGCACTCTGCCTGTTGATTTGTGTTAATTATGCCCTAATAGTGCACCTTTCATCTTGTTTTCCCAGGCAGCAACTGGTGTGGAGCCAATCGTGATGCTCCCTCTGCCAAGAAGGTTCATATATACACTAACCTAAAAGAGAGCTTGACAAACTAAAGGGTATCTCGAAGCTTTGGAATCTAGAGATTGAACTCCTGCCAGAGCACAAGTTTCTTGCACGATGGGGAAATTATTTAATCCTCCTTGGATATCAATTCTCCAGCGATGAAATACAATACAGAACAGCCAGGTTGCCATTCAAGAAGTAGTCTGTACAGAAAGTGACCTGCTGCTCAACAAAGATCCTTTTCAGTATAGAACCACAGTCAAAATAGCATTCAAGATGTTAAGGTTCATGAAGTGACTAATGTGAGAAGGGATATGGTGCTTTCCTATAAAAGTGCTGCTGCTGCAAGAAGTACTCGGGTACTATCACATGACTCTAAGAGGACAGAAAACTGAGTGGTCCTGAGTCTGGAAAATTAATTTATGAAGGACAGAAAGAGCATAGATAACATCTACTCTTTACCATTTTGTAACACTAACAAGAAGACAATCACCAGAACAGAGCAAGGAGAATCAAAATTGGTACTTTTTTATACAGCATGATTAGACACGCAGGTGCTGATGGTGGTAATTTAGCAAGAAGCAAAAGTTCATAGCTGGTAAGAATACCCATTATTCATGAAAACGCGTCAGCAGGAGTTACTACACCTATAGTTCAGGAAGTAAGCCAATCTCTAATGATTAGAAGTCCAGGGAGATATTTGGAGGGTGTGGAAGGATAATTAACATCTGTCTCCTGTGAAGTTCTTGCGTATCTTTCTGAAGCAGGAAATCCTGGCTACTGACAGACAAGATAGAGAGCAGCTCTGATGCACTCTGGGCATTTGTACTACTCTGCATAATACTGAGTGATGATCTGGGAGGCAATAGGAGATAGTTCATGACTATGGCTGGAGTATGACTTGACAGAAAGAATTTGTCAGAAACGAAGTTGTCTTTTGCCTCAACGTTTTAATGTATTCTCAAACAAATGATTTTCAATGCCGCTTTAGACCTGGGTTCGTTCCACCTAACTTCAGGCACTGACCTAGGAAGATGTCAGCAGTGTTAAGAAAAGTATAAGCACCTGCTTATGTTCATGCTTTCATTAGGGAACTGGAGTGTTGTGTTACAAGAAGGTGTTACCTTCTTGTTGTGATCTTTCTCAGAAGCTTCCCTTTTTTTCGTCTGACTTGATAAGATCCTAATATCTCTCTCTCTCACTGAAAACATGATCTGTTTGATGTTTGCTTACTGGAATATGTATCAACGCCAGTGGCCAGCCCAGTTGCAAAGATACTGTTTGTGACGTGCAGAATATGTCATCTGCAGACCAGTGAGTTTTGAGCAGTCACCATTTCACAGTGTGGGCCCTAAGAGTTCCTCCACTTTTCCGGAATTCACACAGGACAGAATGAACTGTGGTGAAATCTGTGTGGTTTATTTACTGATGGCCTACACTAGCCACATCATCAGGAATCTGTGAAATTTTCTAGGTTAACAAGACCACAATTTCTACTTGGAACATGTTCCCCACTTTATATCACCAAGCCCTCTACAAAATCATGCTGTTCTAGCCTAAGGGAAACCTCAGAATTTCTACACAGGGAAAACCTACTCTTTTTGGAAGGTTTTACATTAAAATGATCAGATGGTATTTACCAAAAGACAGCTAAAAATTCAGCCAAAGCAGTTATAAGTGTCTAGACCACATGGGGCTACAGAAAGAGTGGAATTCAAGTTATATCTGCATAATAGGGTAAGTCAGTGAATTATAACTTTGTGTTGCTGTTGCGAAGTGGTTGCTTGTACCCAAACGTGCTAACTTAAAGGTAGCCAAGGAATCTGACCTCTATACTGCCCCTATTTCTGGTACTGTCAGACAAAGAGCAATCTAACCACAGGCTGAAAACTTGCCAGAGAATTTGATGGGATCTGTGGAAACTACACCAGACACCTGCACTATTAATAGAAAAGTAATAAACAACATCAGCCACAGGTTAAAAACTGAAATTGTATAGGTTCTGTAGATGGGGGAAACAAACAGAAGACATTTGAACTATGCCAGCAGTGCTATTTTGGCAATACAGAAACAGATTCCAAACAATCTTAAAGCTATATGGTTGACAACATGCACTCAGAAAATCTGTGGACGTGGGCCAGTAGCAAGCATGCAAAAAAACCGCCACCTTATTTCATGTATCCTTAATGCTGGTGTTCATCTGTATGTGTGTTTGTGTGGTTGTCCTGCACTGCAAAAATCCAACCTAGAGATGTGGAAGTTAACGTCAGGTTCCCATCAGGGTCAAAACTTCAGCCAAATATGTTTCAGCTGATTATTTTTCTAGATCCTTCCATTGCCATCAGAGAATCACCTTTATACTGAAATTATTCCAAATCCGAGGGTGAGATCCTGTTTATGGTTACAGCAGATTTATGCAGAAAAGGTGCACCATTAAACAGGAAGATGTGGCCAACTGGGTAGGACCCAAAAAGCATTCTAGTTACATTCATCTTCCATTGCAATTTATGCCCACATTGGCCACTGTCCCTTGCGTAAGCCAAGGAAAGGAAAACAATATTCTATTGAGAAATCTGCTTCAACATTGTCTCCCTAAGGAAAGGGACAGAAATGCTCAGCA